TAACCTAGAGTAGGTACCTTCTTTTATATAGGGATAGAAAGAGAAACGGTTATTAACCTCTCCCTATACACTCTAATAGTTACTACTTAAGTAATTAACTAGTAGGTATAAGAGAACCCCCTATCTAACTATAATACTATTCTCTTTACTATTATATATAATGAGTTTTAAGATATACTAATGCTACTACTATAGTTTAACATTAAAAAGGCTAACTAGGCCTAGTATAGGTAAATCATCTAAGAAGAGTTAAATAAGATTATAAGTCTACTTATCTAAGTCCTTCCTAATAGGGTATAACATATACTCTCTAGTAGGACCTTATAAGAGGACCTAGACTAACTTAGACGACGCCTTATAAAGGTAATAGAGATAGTAGCTAAACATAGCATCCTATAGGTAACCTCTAGATAGTAATAAAAACTATAGTAGTCCCTACTCCTTATAGCCTTAAGGATAACCACTATATAAGTAAGGCGTAGGGCATATTATAACTAAGTTATATATATATAAGTATAGAATATATATAATATAGCCATTAAGTAGGTAAAATAAGAGTACTAGAATAACTTCCTTATAAAAGAAACACCCTAGTCTATCTATAAGGTAATAGTATACATGAAAGTAACCTAATCTAAGTAAATCCCCTAGATATATAACCTTTAAGATTAACTCTAATCATTATATAATAGTAAGTATACTACCTTCTATTAGAAACTCTTCCCCCTACTACTATACATTCCCCTATATAACTAGATAAACTATAAGGAAGGGCTATAGGACTAGCCCTCCCTTATAGATAAGGAAGTATAGTATACCTACTCTTATAAGATTAAAGGCACTACCCCTAGGCTAGACTAGATCTACTAGAAGATAATTACTAAGGTATATAACACTTATCCTAAAAAATTTACCTAGATATACTAAACCTTCTTTACATATAGATATTACCTAGAATACTAGAGAGAAGTAGTAGGTATAATACTTAAGAAGCTAGGGAAACCTAATTATATAGACCTAAAAGCATATAGAGTTATCTCCCTACTTAACTACCTAGGAAAAGTCCTTAAATACATTATAGTAAAACATCTTAGAGTACTTATAGAAGCTACCTACCTCCTATACCTATCCTAAATAGGCGGATAACTATAGAAGTTAGTAATTAATATAGTAATAATCCTTATATATATTATCTAAGATGAGAGGAGGGTATAGTATAAGATATTAACCCTATTCCTTAACATATAAGGTACCTTTAATTATATAGCCTATAACTAGCTCTTATATATAATAGGGGAAATTAGGCTCCCTACCTCCCTCCTAGTATAGGTAAAGATATTTACTAGTAGGTAATAACTCTAGATCTCCTTTAATAGCTAATAAGAGGACCTTTATCTAATAGTTTTAGGAATTCCCTAGGGAAGCCTAGTCTTACTAATTCTATTTCTTATTTATATATAAAAACTCTTTTCCTCTTACTTAGTCTAATTCCTCTTATATATTAATGATATTTTAATTATAATCTCCTTAATAAGCTAGAAGAAAAATATATAGATCCTCTAGCGGGAAGCTAACTAGCTTTTCTTACTTAGAACCTAATATGCCGTTAATTTTAATAAAGATAAAATAGACCTTATCTATTTTATAAGCTTAGATAAGGCTAAGTAAGCTATAATTATACTCCTAGGAGACTATATAGTATAGCTAAAGTAACTTATCTAATAGCTTAGGATATAGTTTAATATATACCTATTATTCTAGTAGTATATAATAATTTAGAACGCCTAAGTAAAGTAATTACTTAGTAGGCTTATATAGCTAGCTAATATATAATATAGACTATCCCCTACTACTATCTAATAACTATACCTAGCTTATATATAAAGTATAGTAGATTATAGGTCCCTAGTTTTCTAGTAAGTTAGTAGCTCTAAGATACTTAGATAAATACTTTAAAATAATAGACTATACTAAATCCTAGGAGCCTTTTAGACCTCCCTAATTACCCCTATAGAAATTAAAGTAGGACTTCTCCCCCCCTACCTAAGGCGTAATATATTACTTTAAGCGTATACTATATAACTCTTTAAGCTTAGTCACTAATATCTAGTATATATAATTATTAATAAGTTTAAATAAGAGAACATACTAGGATAATAGACATAACTTAAATATATCTAGAGCATAATTTCGGACCTAGTAATAGGTACTAAAAGCCTAATTAAACATAGTTCCTTTCTCCTATAGAAAAAGACTACTCTATATAAAGTTAAGATTAGCTACCTCCTAAAGGAATAAGAAGCCTAAGTATATATTAGATGTATAGGATATATAACTTAGGTAGTTATCCTATACTCTAATACTTCATCTATTCTAAAAGGAAATAGAGTAGGTATAGGAATTATAGCGTATAATACCTAATAAGATAGTATAAGAGTAGTAGTAAGATATAGAGGAAATACTAGACTATACTAGCTTATATATAATAGAGAACTAGAGGCACTTATAAGGGCTATAGAGTTAGCTACCTAGAAATAGCTAGGATAATAGATTATAGTATATATAGATAACTAAGCTATACTATATTACCTCTAAACCCTATCTAACCTACTAGGTTAAGGACTATAACTTTAAGCTATAGATATAGGCTACTTAATTATAGCTAGATAAGGTAGTCTTACCTTCTTATAGGCTCTAGGCTATATAGGGATTAGAGGAAACCTATAAGTAGATACCCTTATAAAGGAGGCTACTAAGCTAACCCTAGAGAATAACTACTTAAGTACTACCTTCCTTAGGATGCGCGTATAATAAAGAACTATAATAGAATAGATAGTATATACTATATAATACTAGGAAGCATAGATAATACTATTCTAGGGGTTATATATATATAACTTCCTATCTATACTAAGGACGTCTATCTAACTCTCTAAGTATAGATAACTAGAAGTATTAGCCTACTTCTAATTAAAACTAAACTATAGCTACTTTAAAGCCTACCTATTATAGTTTAGTAAGATAGCCTAGGATAACTATAGCTATAATAATACCGCCTAATAAATACTATAACATCTTATTAGTAACTGCCTACTCTATAGCTCTACTAGGAAAGAAGTAATATAGGAAGCGCTTTAGGTATATGATAATAATAGTAGGAATATAGCCTCTATACCCTATAGAGAGCTATTCTAAGGAGATATTAGTTAATAATTCATACTTAAATTCATATATTAGATGAAGGTTTCTACTAGGGCATAGTATATATAAAGAGTAGACTAAGGGAAAAGAAGAGTAAAAAGAAGAAGAGAGAATCTATTCTAAGCTCTATTAGTAGAGTAAATAATAAGCTCTATAATCTCTCTACTTATAGTTCCTATAGGTACTACCCTAGAACCCCTCTAACTAAAGATAATCTAGGAAGAGACCCCTTTATCTATAATCTACCTAATACCCTCTAGGCTTATATCCCTCCTCTACCTTATATAGAGCCTCTACTAAGACCCTAGCCCTCTAGATTAGGAAGGTATTAACATAACTTAGATAACTACTCTATAACTACTCTAGCTAAACCCTCCTACTCCTAATAATAATTAGATAACTATTTAGCGGTAAGGTAAGGGCTTAATGCTATTTATCTATATAGTATACCTAGGCTAGGGTAGTATATAGAGCCCTATTATTAGTAATAATGTTAACGTATGGTTATCTAATAGTGGTAACTAGGCTAGATTAAATTATAAGTAATATTAATATAGATTAAACCTAGGTTCTTAAGCATTCTTTATTTTCTATAATAAGTATTAGCTAACTATACTAGTTAGCTAGAAGATAGATACTACTAGTTAAAAACCTTACCCGCTTTTTTTACCTTTATAGGTACTAAGAAAGGTATTATATAATACTAACTAAAAATAGTACTATTAGGGATAGTACTAGAATGCTATAGTAGAGTATATATATAATCTACCTTACCTACTACCCTATACTATATTTACTTTTCTATATATACCTTCTCCCTATCCCCCTTCCTTTTCTTACTCTTACTCTATGCTACCTATCTACTTAGATAATAGTAGGAAGGCTAGTCCTTAGCCCCCCCTTACCTAAAAAGAGCCTAGATAAACTATCTATCTATACCTACCCTATACTAATATTATACTAAGAATTACGCCTTATTATATGAGATTCTTTAGCTAGGTATCCCTACTTACCTTATAAACGTACGCGGGATCCCCTATAGATAGCTCTATCTTAGATAGCCTATAGCTCTAGTAAGACGTAAAATAATTAATTAATTAATTAATTAATTAATTAATATTTTATTAATGCTCTAACGCTCTTAGAGTACACGTTAAGTAACTTTAAAAGGAATGCTCCCTATTAGTATTAAACATAATTATAGAGGTAGAGACTCGGCGCTTAAATGCTCCCGATATGCGTTTAATGACAACTCTTAAAAGCTCCGAAGCCGTCTAGGTTAAGACATTTGAGAGCGCCCCATTTTACATCTATGTGATCAGTCGCCCGAGAATATTGCGTTCTACAATCATGGCGAAATAACATTTCCTCTTGTCGTCCAACTGCCACCCATTTCTCTCTCCAAATCTAGTCACTCTTCAACGTTATCTACAAAATGATCCAGCTCATCCAGCTTCCGGCTCTTCTCCTTTTTCAACACTCGCGAATTATTTGTGTGCGTGGGTGTCGGCGCGGACACAACTTCCCGGCCCGCACCACACGAAACCAAAACTCGTGGCCGCACACCCAAAATTCGACCACCGCACATCCACCACGCACACCCCTACCCCTAGAACACCATTCTCACATATCCCCCCTCATCTCTAAATCTTCTCCTCTTGTTCCTACACTCAAGAAACAGCCCCCACCCACACAAATTCTACCGAAAAATTCCCCCTTCGTTCAACATCGTCGTACACATTAGTTAATATAAACTTTGTTCCGTTTCTCTTTTCAACGACAGCAATTCTGCTAAGTGGTCCTCCGTGGCGCAATTGGCTAGCGCGTCTGACTGTTATGAGACCTTCAAGGTCCGAGCAATCAGGAGGTTGACAGTTCAAGCCTGTCCGGGGGAGACGACTTTTTTGCGCTTTCCTGCAGCCTGTCTAGGTCTGTGGGACGTAGCTTTTGCCTCTGAGTGAGTCGGGAAACGGTAAGGAGGGAAGTTGGGCTGTGTGGTGGGAAGGAGGGGGAAGTGAGGAGTGGTTGGACTGGGGTGGGGGGTTTTTTTTTTTTTTTTTTTTTTTCGTTTTTTTGGGATGGATGGATTAGTTGGTGGATTGATTGATGGAGAGAAAGACTGGGTAAGCGAGAGTGTTTTGAGTTTGGCGAGGGACAGCGATTGTTCGCTGCTTTTCGGCGCCAGTGCATGACAGTGTTGTGGGCGAAGGCTCAAAGGCGCCACATCTCTCTTTTCTGCCTACACTGCTCCATTTTGTCTCTGCTCACACACGCTCAAAGTATTCCAGCACCAAGCAAGCAAGCCAGCGACAACCCAAGCAAATGCCCACAACTCTAGCTAAGTTGAGCTGAGCTGGGTTGGGGTGCCCCAAGCTCCCTCGATACCGAGGGTCTAGCTGGCTGGCACCTGGCTGGCACACTCTCAGTAAACAACGACAGCAGGATAAGCATGGGCGTCCGTTATGTTGTTGGCGTCAAAGATGACCATAACGATGATGTGTGAAGATTCAACAAATGCTTCGGCCCGTTCTGTCTGCAAACAGTTGGACATTACAACCGACCGCCTATGTAAAAGAGCTTCGATCTAGGTAGAGAAAAGGAACAAAATCGTCGTCGTCGGTGATGATGATGATGATGATGATGATGATGATGATTATGACAATGTGATAGGTAGGTTGTTGGAGCGCTCATAACTCATCTCAGCCACAACAACGGGCGCGCAAAAAGCCCGACAAAGCAGCAGTAGAAAATAGCAATTCCCCCCATCGTTCGCCAGACCTTTGACCCACCCTGCCTGCCTGACCGACCGAGAAGTGAGCCCCCAACCGAGTATATAAAAACGCCTTCCGTCTAGTGTTTAGCCGTCACCTTGTCGCCAGTGACCTTCTCGACCCACTCCTTGGCACTGTCGTCGTGTGTTAGCAAAGACGAAAGGTAAGAGGGAGAAAAGAGACTTACACATCGCCCAAAGCAACCATGCAAACCGTCTGCCAAACGCCCAGTCCGATCCTAGGAGTAACGCCCCTGTACAAGCCCTTGATGCCGTTCTTGGAGTAAATGTACTTTGCCGCGCTGGCGACCGTCATCTTCTTGGGGCGGTTGGGGTCCTCGACCTTGCTCTGCATCTCGACGCGGATGACCTCGATGGGCTGGTTCCACGCCGACAGGCCACCGCCGAGGGTGGACGCAATGATCTTCTCCACGACGCCCAGCTTTTCGCCGTGCTCCTTATTGGTGACCTTGCGGATGCCGCTCTCGGCAATGCGCGACAGCCCAAAGCGCGACCCCCAGTTGGTCACCTGGCGCACGGCCACGGCGTTGACGCCCTTGTTGATGCCGCGGATGCCCTCGCGCCGGTAAATGTCCATGAATGTCTCCATGGTTCCAGGCGGCTTCATGCCCGCCGCCGCCACCTTGTGCTTGGTGATTTCGACCGTCTTCATGCAGGTGCAGAAGCCCATGGTGGCATAGGCCTGCGCCAGACCACCGACCATGCCGCCCGTGATGCCAGCGAGGAAAGGAGCGGCGCCCATGGTGCGCGCGCGGAACTCGGCCTCGGAGGCGACAAACAAGAGGACGGCGCCCTTGGTCGAGGCTTCGATCCAAGCCCAGGGAATGAGACCTTGGTAGACTGTTGAAAGAGTATTGTTAGATGTTTAGTTGAATTTATTCAAGTTTCTTTTACTTACATCCAAGGACACCACCACGAGCCCAGATCCTACCAATGGCACCACCAAAGCCGTCCGCGCGGTTGGCCGCCATGGTCGTCTTGACCACTTCCAGAGGCTGCAGATGTTAGCACAGTTTGCAACGCAGGAATAAAGGACTTACCTGGCCCAGCGTCGACACTTCGAACATGTTCAGACCCGAGCCAAGCAGCAAGTTGCTGAACTTGACCGGCTTCTTCTCTAACCTTGGGGGCGCTTCAACGCCTGCCATGGTGGCTGCGGGAGTGGACATGATCTTGGTGCGTACGCTGTGAGAAGGGGCCTGACCAAGGCAAGAGGGTGCTTCTTCGCAAAAAGAGAAGTTGGGGAATGGTATGGAGGGGAGGACAGGAAAGGAAAGGGGAAGGCAGGGCTGGAGGGCGGCAGCGGAATGTATATGATGGGCGGAGCTGAGTAACGCACGAGCGTCGTGTCGCTGCGACGACGTACAATTACGCCGGGGGGCGGGTGACGGAAATGGAACCCACCACAACAGGGTTACGAGGGGTCAGAACAACAAAAACGTCGTCGGTGCACTGACAGCCGTTCGGGTGTTGTCGGTGCGGGAGTCGTGGTTCTGGACACGGGGTGGGTGTGGGTGAGGGTGAGGTTGAGCTGAGGCTAAGAGGGTACCCTACAGATAGCAAACCAACCACGGCGCGCAAAGAGAAAGCCGCATCTGCGCCGCATCCTGGAATTCGCAGGCCGGCCACGTACATACAGAGACGCCAGAGATGAGTGAGACCCGACCGCAGGAATACCGTACGCCTGTCTGTCAGCATGTCAACTTCATTTCGCGGCGGGCATTCCCGCTCAACAGTCTCGGTGTCCGCAGCGTCCACCGGACCATCAGCTTCTCACCAACACCACCCGACCCCAACGCCCCAGAGAAGCGCACGGCCCGTGACAGGACCTGGGCTGGACCTAGCTCACCTCAGGTCCGCCAACCACGGCTGCACCGCCCAGCCCCTGGCCTCGCTCTCAATCCCCATTGTTGCCCTGTGGCCCTCGTTTCCTCGAATTGACTTTGCGTCCACTGACGGACCGTCGCCGTCCTTGTGCGACCCGCGCCCACGCCGCGTCCGCCACGAAACGGAGCTCTCATGCAGGAAACCGTTGGGCGCTGCACGCGTTTCAAGGCATCGTCTCAGTGGTCATTCATCAACGTGGTACATTGCACTGCTAATACATTCTACGAGTCAAAGAGCGCCAACCCCATGATCCTGCTTTTATTGCTCCCTATGAACAAACAACGTGGGTAACCATTCTAGTCTCTCTAAATCTTAATTCTCTCCCTCTACAACTTGGCACCGACCAGCTTGGCGTACGCCGCGGTGCTGAACGACTTGGGCCTCTCAATGGGCGCGCCGACGGCACGGTCGATGATGAGCTGGGGCAGCACACCGAGGGCGCGCGACACGCCAAACAGCACCGTGTAAAAGTTTTGCTCCGTCAGGCCGTAGTACTGGAGGAGGACACCAGAGTGGGCGTCGACGTTGGGGAAGGGGTTCTTGGTCTTGCCGTGCTCCGTCAGGACGCCGGGAGCAATCTTGTAAACCTGCGAGACGAGCTTGAACATGGGGTCGTCGGGCAGGTGCTTGAGCGCAAAGTCGCGCTGCGACACGTAGCGGGGATCCGTCTTGCGCAGGACGGCGTGGCCGTAGCCGGGAACGACACGGCCCGAGTTGAGCGTGCTCCAGAGGTACTCCTTGATCTTCTCGTCGCTAAGGTCATTGCCAATCGACTGCTTCATCTCAACGAGCCATTTGAGAACCTCCTGGTTGGCCAGACCGTGCAGGGGACCAGCCAGACCGTTGAGGCCAGCAGCAAGGGAGAGGTAGGCAGAGCTGAGGGCGCTACCGACCAGGTGGGTGGTGTGGGCACTGACGTTGCCACCCTCGTGGTCAGAGTGGATCGTCAGGTACAGCCTCATGAGCTCGACAAAGTCCTTGTTGTCGGCGAAGCCAAGCTGGTTGGCCAAGTTGTACGAGTAGTCCTTGTCCTTCTGGACAGGGGCGACCTTGCCGTCCTTGTACACGTTGCGGTAGATGCGGGCAGCAATGGTGGGGAGCTTCGCAATGAGGTCCATCGAGTCCTCAAAGGTGTGCTCCCAGTACTGGGACTTGTGCATGCCCTTGGCGTAGGCCTTGGAGAAGCTGGACTCGTGCTCGAGGGCAGTCACGGCGAGAGAGAACTGAGCCATGGGGTGAAGGTCGTTGGGGCAGCGGTCAATGAGCTCCTCGACGAACTTGGGGAGGTCGGAGCGGGCAGCCCACTCGGCGGAGAGGTCCTTGACCTGCTGCTCAGTGGGAACCTCGCCAGTCAGGAGGAGCCAAAAGAGACCTGTCCACAGTTAGCAGCTTCGTCCACTTTTGATTCATCTGATACTGACCTTCGGGGAGGGGCTCCTGGCCGCCAGGGGCCTTGGGGAGGAGTTCCTGGCATTCGGGAATCTAAAGACTGTCAGAGGAGTCTAGATAATCCAGCAAGCATGTCAACTTACAGTCTTGCCGCGGAAGCGGATACCCTCCTCGGAGTCGAGGACGGAACCCTAGTGCATTGTCAGCTGGAACAATGACGACTGAGGTCAATGTACGAACCTCCCAGACAAGAGACTTGATGCCACGGGCACCACCGTAGACCTGGTCGAGGGTGACCTCGCCGACGACCTTGCTGCCGTGCTCCCTTCAATTGTGCGTTAGGACCGAGCTGCAGCACAGACGGTGGGGGACGGGAGCGTACTTCTTGAGCTTCTTGATCTTCTCAACCTCGCCAGGGATCTTGGCGGCAAAGGTCTCCTTCAGGGACTTGGGTCGAGGGTTAGCTACCATGATTGAGGCATTCGTGGGGGAGAAAAAAGGGAGCTTACGCTGGTCTTGCTCGAGTAAAAGCGCAGGCCATTGCAGACCGAGGTACGCACAGGCGTCCTGAAGGAGGAGCGCAGAGCAGCCGAACCGAGGCGCATGGAAGAAGCCATTGTGGGGGGTTGAGGTGGACAGTGGGAGGAGAGGGTGATGGAGAGGAGAGGAGGGAGAGATAAATTCAACAGAGGGAGAAATTGGCAGCAGGGCAGGCAGTCGGGTCGGAAAGCTTTGAGACGGGCAGACGCGGGCGATGACAGCCGACACGGAATCCGGGTCTGTGCGCTCCGCTTCTCCACCTCAGCTGGCCCCCGAGATATTTCCCCA